GTAGTGTGTGACCCTGTGCCGGCCATGTTGTGTGAAAATGAAAGCGACTTCTGGATGACAAGTCAGCGAGGTGTGAAACACTACAGCGACCTGACAACGTTAGAAGTCGTGTTCTCCTGAATCTGGCTTTACTTTCAGTCCCATGACACTTTCTTTTGACTTATTTTGTACTTACCTTCCCTTAGAAAGTCTCCTGCACATTTTCAGATGAATGTGACGTTGCTTTCAAGATTATGGATTGTATAAGTGCTGCTTCCCTTAGAAAGATTATGTTACAAAAAGCGTTCATGATAATGCTAGGGTGCCACATTTGACAGTTAATTACAGAAAAGCTATCAATGGAATGGGTCAAACTGACAGCAAATATGGGTTTACAAAAATACCAAAGATGTTATTGTCATATGCAAAATAGCTGGAAATGAATCGCATAGTGCAAGTGATGATAGTGAATGAACAGTCCTTCAAGTTTTTCTGATATATTGAGGGTTGGACACCAAGAATACGGTGAAAATTGTTGACGGATATACTTTGGATGGTTAAAACTTTCCCCAGTAAAGAAAATACAAAATGAACAAGAGAAGGAGAGGTTAGAAGACAGCGAGCTGGACGTCAGAGAAATCAGCAGAAGAAGACAGAAAGGAAGTAAACAATAAAGGGAACAGCAGAATAACACAGACATGAATTTAACACTAAAGGAAACAGCAGAAGAAGACAGACAGCAAGTAAACACTAAAGGGAACAGCAGAAGAAGACAGAGAGGAAGTAAACACTAAAGGGAACAGCAGAAGAAGACAGACAGGAAGTAAACACTAAAGGAAACAGCAGAAGAAGACAGACAGCAAGTAAACACTAAAGGGAACAGCAGAAGAAGACAGAGAGGAAGTAAACACTAAAGGGAACAGCAGAAGACAGAGAGGAAGTAAACACTAAAGGGAACAGCAGAAGAAGACAGACAGGAAGTAAACACTAAAGGGAACATCAGAAGAAGAGAGATAGGAAGTAAACACTAAAGGGAACAGCAGAATAACACAGACATGAATTTAACACTAAAGGAAACAGCAGAAGAAGAGAGATAGGAAGTAAACACGTAAGGGAACACACTATGGGTTCTGGCAGTGTTTAAAAACTGGTTAATGTCAAAGAAAATCTGCAGTCCAAATGCAAAATTGACATGTTTAGGGTCAGACACCAGGGCTACGGTAAAATGTTGTGTTCACAAAAAGCAATAAATACAAAACGTAGGGTGCCTCATTAAGGAAAACAGGACACAAAGGACATTTCTGTCTCCCGGTTCCCTTTCTCAAGACCTCTGCACTTATTTTGTGACATTCCTGGCAGGTGTTTTTTGAAAAGAGAGACAGTCGAATGGTCCTAAGGCAGTCCCAGGGTGAAGGTGTCACAACACAGCAGCTCCATTCAGACTCTCTCCAAAACACTGAGGAGTGATGGTGGCTGGACATTAAATATTTGATGAGCTTCAGTCTGCTGACAGGGACTCTCTCCTGGGCTTTCTACAGGACTGAACACAAACACAAACACAGAGTAAACCTCTCCATCAGGACCAGTGTCTGTTTCACTGCAAACAAGTAAACATATAAGTAAACATACATAACATTCACCTGTTTGCAACTTACAAATGATGTATCACTTGTATATAGACTCTTATGGCACTACTTCAATTCTATTTTATTTGTATTTACTTGCACTATTTTATCTGTTTTATTGTGTTGCTCTGTTGGAGGAGTCTGGGACCTCAGATTGTCATTGATATATCTACACTGTAGCTGTGTACGAATGAAAATAAAAGCCTTGAATCTTGAATCAATATCTTATTCATACTAATACACTTGTCAAGGCTCATTCTTGTAGGATATTTAAAACCGTGAGCTCCACTTCTTGACTCACACTCTGCAGGCGCTGATTCTGTTGCCTTCCTGATGATCAGTGTAACGTGAGGTCAAAGGCCGAGGCTCAGTCGCACCCCTTCCTTATATAACAGCTGATTAATCACAATAAATCAAAGCTATATCAGAATATGTAATTTAATACTAAATCATAAATAGAAAGAATATATTAAAACATAAATTAATTGGAAAATATTTAATTTATAATCAACACAAAAAATTGCTCTAACAACACTATTGTGTATATTCTAATGTACAACTTGCACAGCTGGAGAGGGGCAAGTTCAGAGAAAGAAAACTGGACGCCCTTTCGCTCTGCCACCTCTTCATTAGTGCATGTCTATAGGTCTTGTTTGTGTGTGTGTGTGTGTGTGTGTGTGTGTGCGCGTACGTGCGTGCGTGTGTTGTAAAGAAAAAACACCAGAGCGAAAACATTTCTTTCACTAACAGTTGATCTTAATCTTAAACCACACATGTCACTGGAAAACTGAAGTCACAGGCTCCTCCAACAGAGCAATATGAATATATATATATATAGGACATAGAACAAATAAAACAGATACAATATTGCAAGAGAATGTTTTGACATGTGCAAAAATATAAATACAAATGAAATAGAAATAGTGCAAGAAGTACATGGAATATGATATATTAGATAAATAATGTGTAAGTTGCTAACAGATTAATGTTATGGATGTTGTTTCAAAAGTTCAGGTGTTACAGTCTTATGGTCTGTGGAATGAAACTGTCTCTGAGTCTGGTGGTTCAGACCTGATCTATCATGTCAGTCTCCCTTTCTGTGATTCCTTCTTTCACTTTGCTCCATCAGTTCCTCACTCGGTCATCATTCCCCTGTGTTTTCCCCTCTGTGTGTGAGTGTATTCGAGCTGACAGACTCTCAGCGGCCTCGCCCATTAGCTCTTTCATGCGTTCTGCTCCCCGACTGCGTTTATTATAGACCAGAATCAGCAGGCTGCGACCTCAACACACTGCCAAGGAGACTTCAGACTGGTGGCAAATAAGTCCTATGATTATATAATAATCTGTGAATGCTTGATTACACCGGTGCCATGAACTTCCCAGTACATGTGTTGGAGGAAGGTGGGAGAATCTGAATCAGAGCGTCGCCATGTGAGCTTTTGTTTTGCTCCACACATTCCTGTATAGGTTTGTTCCTCGAGTGACAAAGAGCTGCAATTTAGTTCATGAGAAGGAAATGTGAGGAAAACCGTCACATGACTTCACATCACCACCGCTAAGCTAAAGGTGGCTAATGTTGGGCTATAAAGGAACTACAGCACAGTCACATGGCTTCACGTCACCACTGCTAAGCTAAAGGTGGCTAACGTTGGGCTATAAAGGAACTACAGCACGGTCACATGACTTCACGTCACCACCGCTAAGCTAAAGGTGGCTAATGTTGGGCTATAAAGGAACTACAGCACGGTCACATGACTTCACGTCACCACTGCTAAGCTAAAGGTGGCTAACGTTGGGCTATAAAGGAACTACAGCACGGTCACATGACTTCACGTCACCACCGCTAAGCTAAAGGTGGCTAATGTTGGGCTATAAAGGAACTACAGCACGGTCACATGACTTCACGTCACCACCGCTAAGCTAAAGGTGGCTAATGTTGGGCTATAAAGGAACTACAGCACGGTCACATGACTTCACGTCACCACCGCTAAGCTAAAGGAGGCTAATGTTGGGCTATAAAGGAACTACAGCACGGTCACATGACTTCACGTCACCACCGCTAAGCTAAAGGAGGCTAATGTTGGGCTATAAAGGAACTACAGCACAGTCACATGACTTCACGTCACCACCGCTAAGCTAAAGGCGGCTAATGTTGGGCTATAAAGGAACTACAGCACGGTCACATGACTTCACGTCACCACCGCTAAGCTAAAGGCGGCTAATGTTGGGCTATTAAGGAACTACAGCACTACTTGGACTATGCTCTCAGTGTCCTCTATTTGTATTTGAGGATAAATCTCCCTGACAGGCACATATAGAGCAGAACATGAAGATTATCCATCAGGACACTTTCATAAGTCATTGTACTCACACTAATCTATACAGCTCACCTTTAACGTCTGATATCCAGCGTCCTCTGCATCCACTCGCTTCATATTAGCATCATGGTGTTGATAACATTCAGTCAAAATCCAATAGTTAAATTAAAGAAGAAGAGATAATTGTTATTTTAATTTATTATCTGATTAAAGATAACATGGTGGGCTAAATCATGATGTTAACATTATCATGAAGGTCAGCTTCTTTAATCCTCAATCCCTTATCTTCTGCTCCATCACTTTCCATAATGTGTCTTTTGAAAAGGTCAAAAATGTAATTTAATATCACTGATGTGCAACAACACTGGTGATGTGCATTATACACTTGTGTAAAATGAACGCTTCATTGAACTCCTTTGTTCTGTTTTGTTGTGATTGGTCATCTCCAAGCAGTTGATATACACCTGAACATCAGCAGGAGAGGACTCTTTAAAGTAGAGACACTACATACTGATATACACCTGAACATCAGCAGGAGAGGACTCTTTAAAGTAGAGACACTACATACTGATATACACCTGAACATCAGCAGGAGAGGACTCTTTAAAGTAGAGACACTACATACTGATATACACCTGAACATCAGCAGGAGAGGACTCTTTAAAGTAGAGACACTACATACTGATATACACCTGAACATCAGCAGGAGAGGACTCTTTAAAGTAGAGACACTACATACTGATATACACCTGAACATCAGCAGGAGAGGACTCTTTAAAGTAGAGACACTACATACTGATATACACCTGAACATCAGCAGGAGAGGACTCTTTAAAGTAGAGACACTACATACTGATATACACCTGAACATCAGCAGAAGAGGACTCTTTAAAGTAGATACATGTGCTTTAAAGAGTCCAGCAGTAAACAGAAATGATTTAGCCTCAATTGTATTGTTTTTTCTGAGCCACGTTACGATTATAAACCTGTCCATAACTACGTTTTATGTATTAAAAGTTCCCCCCTTCGTAATAAAAGTGATTGTGTCAGTGTTTTAACTTTGCTCTCCTGTCTGCAGGGACTCTCTGCATTTATGGTCACATGAACGTCAGCGCTGCAGGCCAGATGCCGGTGATGGAGGAGCTTATCAGTGAGAGGTGAGCCCTATTCAGCTTTTATGATGGATAAAAATGTTACCTGGATGATGTTAGCATGGCTAACGAAGCCTCAATCATTGTGGCCTAAGCTGTCTACACCGGCATATTTTACAGGTGTGTTTTTCACCGTGATATCATTTGTGGTAATCTGACATGACAACTTTTGCAGCCTATGTATTGACTAATATACACCTGATAGCCGGTATTAAAAACAACCCCCCCCCCCACACCTTATCACCTGGATCTCCTCCTAGAGCACTATTGGGTTCTTTTTAACCAAATATCTCTCAGAGGGGCGTGGGGAGCCAATCAGAGACAGGCTCTGTATATATCTGAGACCTGTGATATATTGAGGAAAAACAGTATAATAGGGGACCTTTAAACCCAAACATGAAACTCCATCAAAATGTCTCTTACACTTTCCATGAACTGTTCCGACAATAAGCTCTGACGTATTCGGTTCTCGGTTCCAGACGAGTGGTTCGTTGGTTCAAATGGGATATGGTTTGCGGGGTCACACTTGACACATTTCAAATCAAATTGTATTTTGGAAGACCCAATGCTGAAAATCACACATTTATCTCTAGGGTTAATCTGTGACATCCTCCCATATAAGACCTTTGACCTCAGAGTTATTTTTACCAAGAGACGGACGGCAATCGAAAAAAAAAGATATATAGCGCCTTTTAAGTCTTCACATATCTGAAATCTACAGGATGGATTATTGCAAATCTTTGCAATTTATTTCCTCGTTTCATGTGTTCATCATGTTGGTTCCCTGCAATGTCTCTCTGATGTTAAGAGAGGTAGAGATCCACTGACTGTGAGGTAACACTGCAAAAACTTCAATTCTTGCCAAGTATATTTGTCTAATTTCTAGTCAGAATAGGTGTTTACATTTGATATAACACCTGATTACTTAAAAGTAACAATGCAGTGAGATATAGGGTCTTGTTTTTAGACAATGCACCTTAAGGTTCTTGTTAAGTCAGACTCTTGAAAACATCTTATTTTGAGTTGGATCTCAGAGGAAACAAGTTTGTTTTTTTAGCATATCACAGGGTTTGTAAGCTGCTGTGTTATTTGTATAAGATGGATAATGTTCTTTCAATAAATACATCTTACTTGATTTTAGAAAACACATTTTTAATGGAAAATCACCAACGAACATCAGAAAACAGATGTTTCTGGCTTATGTTGTAACCTTTCCTGACCCTGGTCAAATATAGTTCAAAATATTTTTTTCCCAGCTGATAACAACATATCATTTATCTAAATATCCCATCCTATTTCATGAAATCTTACCATGCACACTTCCACTTGTTCTATTGGCAGATTTTAACAAGGCTAATACACTTTGTTTTCATAGTTGTTTTACTTGATTTTTGAGCAGCGTTTCATTTACATTTTGCTTTTCATTCTGGTTGTTCCTTTAATTTGACATCCATCCCGTTTATATACGGTTCCAGAGTCTTACACGTACTGATCTGAAGAACTCTTTATCTGGAGGAAAAGAAAGAGATGGCTGCTGCACCAGGTAATAATCAGTCTCAGAGGTCTGCACATCAAACACGAATTCCCTGCCCCGGTTCCCTTCAAGGGCATCTCTTCAGATTGGAGGCTGAGGAAACAATATGCAGCATGGGATTCCTCTGCCTCTGTAGTTATCTCCCCCTCAGGCTTGTTGGTTTGATTGAAGCGGGGGAAACAGTTGGGTGGTCTTTTTCTAACGCCTTATGAATGTAAAGAGTCGTTTTATAGCTTTCCTCTGCCTAGCTAGCGTTTATTTATATTTTTCATCCCTGAGGGCGAGAGAGACAGATTTGAATTTCTTTTTAAATCATCACTGTGAAGGCACAGTTAGACCACTCCTTTCCTCACTGCTTGTTTTGACTCACAGGCTGATAAGAAAAAGGAAAAAGATGCATAAAGGTGAGAAGATATATCCCAGTGTGTGCGGGCAGAAGGATTCACCTTCAATGAATCCAAGGGTGTACCACAGGGATGGGTTCTAGGCCCATTTATCAACCTTAATCAAAGTGTTTTAAATGCAAATGTCCCTTTCTTGCTGATGATACAGTGATATATTGCTCTGTATCTGCCCTAAATCAGGCTCTTTGTGAGCTCCAGACTGCTTTGAACACTTAAAACATACCCTTTGTGACTTGAAACGCGCCTTAAACGCTTAAAGGTCCCATGTCATGGCCATTTCTACTGATCATAATTCCATTGTTGAGGTCTACTAGAATAGATTTAAATTGTGCAATTTTCCAAAATCACATTGGTTTCTCATACAGCATCTCTGTATAGTATGTGTATTCACCAGGTATTCACTCTCTGTCCTACACGGCTTGTTGGAGCTCCTGCCCCCCCTCCCTCATGAGCCCAGTGTGCTCTGATTGGTCGGGACGTTGCGAGGCTCGCTGCTGCATGGAGCGGACAGGTTTCCGGGTCGGCGATACAGCGAGAACAAGCGAAACTCATCCTGAGCACACACAAACACTCACAGCCGAAGTAAAAACAATAAGTGTGGCTTGATATTGAGTAAGAAAAAGGTTTATAACGCTGTGAGAATGGGTCTGCAGAGAGCATTTCTCCACCATCCCAACTCGTCTATTACCAACCAGGGAGCTCTATGCAAGTCAATGGGACTCCCTGTTAGTTAGCCAAGGGATCCTGGTGTGTGAGGTGCTCCGCTGATTGGTCCATTTGGGCCAATCCGGTCATTTGTTGTTGATTTGGGTGTTCACACGTCACAGAACCCAGCAAGTAAACAATGGAAAAAGAAAAATGTCCAACGAGGCGTTCTGGGGCAGCATAGACAGGTCTTTTCTGTGTTAGAGTTTTACTCGCTACAGGGTGTACTTTGAGGGTTTGTGACTCTGCAGACCGTTTACATGCAGAAAAACCTTCATAACACACAAGGGGACGGGTAATAACCGGAAAAGCATGACATGGGCCCTTTAAAAGACAAAGATCATTTTCTCCAAAGCAACATCTAAACAATTGAACCTCTGCCCTTTCACCACTTTGCAGGCTCTTATAAGGAATCTGTGTCTCAATACAAATAGCTGTGATTTAGCCTAGCCTAAAGTTTCTACTTAATCCTTCTGCGTCCTTTATGTCTCTGCTAGACTATGGCAATGGTGTTTATATTCATACATCTTCTACATGCCTTTGCTCTTTTGACATCATCTACATGGGGCTCCGAGGTTTATTACAAACCTTCAAATCCTTGAACGCACCATTGCTCCTTGTATGCTCTGGTTGGATGTTCTGTAGACTACATCATTGATATATCCTTATTTAAAAGACTGTTCTTGGTGTTTCTCCACTTTATGTTCAGATTAACATCCTTTGGAAAGTACAGGAACTCATCGTCTTTGCTTCGAGGACTTGTTTCTTGGACTAACTTACCCTGAAGAGCACACTGAGCTGCAGAAAAGGGCTGTATCTTATATTGAGTTATATTGAGTAAACATATATTTCTGTGGGAAGTAACGTCTCTGGGAACTTCACTCCAGCACGGACACATTTTCATCATTTGGTATAATTGCTTAATTTCCAGGAAGTTCGGGAACATGATCAAATACCTCCTGCAGATAGCAAAACAGTACACTCATACAACTTTTTCAATTTTTAATTTCCGAAGAATTAGAGGACACAATCAGTCTGTCTGAGTAAGGAAATGATGTAAGTTATCTATCATGGTGCCTGTATAAGCATCTGTAAAATGTAAAATATCTGTTTCCTTACAAGTAAAACACGTCAATCTCGGCAGCTCTTGTTTCTAGTCTCTATCGTAAAGTTACCCAGAATGTATACAGTCAATTTATACATTTATTCAGACGCAGAAGACACAACATGAACCAGCTTCATCATGAGCTGAAACCCTCTGATCAGATTTACAAAGCTTCTTAATCTGTCTGTAGATCCTCTGTATGAAGCTGTTCTGATTGTGACCATGATATGTTCTCTGTTATTGTTTTTTATTTGTTTCTGTAACCGTGCTGATGTCTATCTTGGCCAGGACTCCCAGAGTTTTAATCTCAATGAGACTTCTCCTGGGTTAAATAAATGCTAAAATAAATGCCGACCTGTACTTACAGGATGCAAAGATATGAGATTAGAAAATGGTAACTAAATACAGACAGAAGAAAAGTTCTCTACAGTAATCAGAAAAGTCTTGTGGACATTTTGCCTTTCCCAACTTTTAATTTGTCTAATAATTTCATCGTTATCTTGACAATAACTTTCCCCTTTCTACCAATTATAACCATGAAAGTGATAAGAGAGCATAAGCACCCCTGAACAATTAAAACGACTTTGTTTAGTTGGAAGTGATTCCTCGACCCTTCAAACATCTCTTCAGATTTTATGAATTTAGTAAATGTCATTAGCAGCAATCAGTCAACACATTTTAATGAGCTTGTTCTTGTGGGAAATTTGTACATAGTTCTTCATCATAAAATGTCTCAGGATAACCAACACTTGTGGGCTTTAACGGTGCTCATTTATTTAGTAAAACAAAATTAAACCAGGTTAAAAAAAAGGTTATGATAATTGCCTACAGTCTGTCTTCTTCTGCTGTTCCCTTTAGTGTTTACTTCCCGTCCGTCTTCTTCTTTTGTTCCCTTTAGTGTTTACTTCCCGTCCGTCTTCTTCTTTTGTTCCCTTTAGTGTTTACTTCCCGTCTGTCTTCTTCTGCTGTTCCCTTTAGTGTTTACTTCCCGTCTTCTTCTGCTGTTCCCTTTAGTGTTTACTTCATCTCTGTCTTCTTCTGCTGTTCCCTTTAGTGTTTACTTCCTGTCTGTCTTCTTCTGTTGTTCCCTTTAGTGTTTACTTCCTGTCTGTCTTCTTCTGCTGTTCCCTTTAGTGTTTACTTCTTCTCTGTCTTCTTCTGCTGTTCCCTTTAGTGTTTTCTTCCTGTCTGTCTTCTTCTGTTGTTCCCTTTAGTGTTTACTTCCTTTCTGTCTTCTTCTGCTGTTCCCTTTAGTGTT